TGCACAATGTATGCCAAAGTCAATAACACTGTCAATTTTGACGCACATCAAATTGTCTGTCATTTCTGATTCCGATTGAACAAAATGCAATGGTACTTCCATACCCTCGTCATTGCTATTTGGATGTGTTTGTTTTTTCTGATTTACTCAAAATCGTGCAAGCAAAATGACGCAAAACAAAGAATCTACTTTTTATGGCCTTACATAAATTGATTGTATGTAAAGGCCCTATTTGAATGTAAAACCACTTTCGCTTATTATCCAAATGAACAATGTTCAGTAGGAATGTATAGTGAAATCCTTTGTCAATCAGTCTGTCCATCAATCTGTCAGAACATATGTTAATAACTTGTTTACTAAAAGACAGATTTTTTATTATACATACAGAAATTGTAGAAATCCAATTTCCATGTCATTCAAAGTAGAATGGGGAAAATTAGACTATTATTTTCAAATTTTGCATGAGACCTTTAATAAGTAATTGATCTCATTGCCCAATCATAAAATAGATATGCAAAGTATTTGCATAACACCATATTTGACACTGATTCAAAAACCAAAAACAGGACTACTGATACTAAAAATACTTTTTTCATATTTTCTGATCAAGATCATTTACAACGTTGCTTTATTTTGGTTGCAGGAGTCCAACAACCCGGCACTGAGGCTAATAGTGTAGTAAACTATTTCTGTGATATGAACTGACCTGCTGAAGTGATCTTTAAGGTATGTACTGAAAATCATCTAATTTTTGTGATGCATGATACATGATTGAGGTGTGTACTGAATGTAAAGAGTGATCCAGAAAGCCTTTCAATTTAAATCTGTAGAGATTAAAGGTGGATTGGATCGAGTGAATTTGATTCATTTAAAAGGTGGATTGGATCGGGAATCTACAAAATATGGAATTTCTTTAAGATTGTTTTTCTGTTTATTTTCCTCTTAGCTATTTCCCTCTCTAAAAATTTGATCACTTGTTCATTTGAGGAATCTGAACAAAGCAATGACAAATACATACTCTGATAAGTTGATGGAATCTCCTAAGAATTCAACTGCTTTCCCTTGTAAATGAACATTTGAAAGACATAATAAAAATCGATCTGTAGATAAAAACTATCATTCAAATTGATGTGTGGATGTTCTAAAAACATTTCTTCTAATTTCTGTTTGGACTGAAAACAGATGATATGTATCTTCAAACCAGTCTGCCTTATGATTTATGAGATGTCTAAAATTACACTTGGAATGAAGATTATATCACCCTTCTAGCCCATGTAAGCAAAATAATATTACATCTTTTATTTGATACTGTGGAAGTGAAGAGAGGACCAATCTTCTTAGAGGCTGACCAGTAGAATGTTTTAAGGAAAATGCACATTCTGAAGATTCCCGATCCAATCCACCTTTTACATGAATCCAATCCACATTTACCTTTAAGGTGCAACAATAAGTGCAAGGGGCATTCAACGATCACTGAGCAGTGTCAAAATATATTCAAGTCTGGATACTTCAAGACTACCATATATATTTTTATTATCTGCAAAGAAACCCCCTGGATCAACATTTCTTCAGCTGAAATTCCTATTGAAATGTGGTGAATCTTAAAAATCTATAAGTGGGACTCCCTTTATAGAAGCTTTGAACTGAATTTACACTTCTTAATGCTGAAATTGACAATTTATCCATACATTTTAAGAAAATAGATATGTCAAAGAATATGTTAAGCCAAATATTGACCTGATAGCTCAGAAAAAATATAAATTTTCGAATTTTCTCTCTACAGTCCTTGTTGCCCCTTTAATTCCTGTAATTTGTGTGCAAGTTCTAAGTAATAAATCATTGTAATAGGTCTTTACAGTATAATATTTTTAAATTTTGTGAAATTTTTTATCCAAATTTTTGACAATTTGTTTTATATTTTTTGTAACACCAAGCCAGAATTAAATGTGCATTAAATCGCCTCACTTGTTTTCAGGTCACAACATAATACCTCATCAGATATCAAGCAAATGAACAGATGTCAGGAATCTCCAGAAATGAAGAAGAAAAATATTCGCAGTATTGTCCTCAATACACATTGGATGCTTGTGGATAAAAACAAAATATCATCTATATGTAAGATTTGGACTACAGAACAACATAATTTAAGAAGAACATCTAACTTTGCCATGAACATAATTTAAGAGGAACATCAAACTGTGCCATGACCTGGGGCCATGACTGACTTATTGTTGTTGCAAAGGAGAGAGTGTAGAGTGTTTGGAGCAAATTGACAGATAATAAATCCACATTTATTGAAAGAAGAACTCTATGGAATAATCTTTGTTTTCCTTGAACAAGTATGTGTAATATGCATTGCAGGGGCGGATCTGGGAACCCACAAGGGGGGTCCAAATTTCAGGTCTTAGAAAAAAAAATTCCCCGCTTTGCGTAAAAAAATTTTGGCCCCTTCAAACCCAAAAGTGGGCCCAAATTTTGAGGCCCATTTTCTTCAAACATTGACCTGAAATTAAAAAATAAGGCCCAGTAATGACCAAAAAGGCCCAATTTTTGGGGCTTTAAGGCCTTTTTAAGCCAAAAATTTTTTTGGGCCCAATTTTTTTTCTGGGCCCTCAGCCCCCCCCCCCCCCAGATCCGCCAGTGCATTATGCAACAGAAATATATTCTAGAATAAAAAAAATTTAACTTAAAGATTGTGTGTTGCTAGATCTGATTCATTCTTTACAACAAGTGATCTTTGGTATAGACATTTTATACTTAGAAATCTCACTGTGAAAGATATTGTATCTTGATTTTATTGACTATGTCTACAATGCAGTATTGCCTCCGACAAAATATCTTTCACATTATGATTCAGCAGAGCCTTTAACTGAACCAACTCTAGAAGGTGTGATCACTATAGTATCAGTTGTATGAATAATGGAATAAAGGGTTTGCTAAATAGCTTTAAAATTTCATTGAAGTCTTATTTTGATATTTTCAAAATGATCTGCTTCCTTTAAAGACCATTTTTGAAATCGGAATTCTGTGTGAATTTTCTTTTAAAACACTTATTAACTTTTATTCAAATTTCCAGGATTTTCTTTTTTTAAAGAGGTCATACTTCATCCCCATTGACACAGTCAAAAGTTATTTACTCTTGAGCTTCTCAAATGTTCATGTTAAATCAGAAAACACATGTCAACAAGATCGTTACAGTATTCTATATCAGGAACATGCTATGAATTAAATTGAAAAAGGCAACTTACTTAATAAAGCAAGAAATTGAATGACTTTTTGCCACTTGTCTATATTTTATGAATAATATTCTGGCCCTACCAATACATGTGCTGCGATCTGTTTATCCATCTATATGTAGAATGGTGACAGTTCATTCTTTATTATTATCATTTAAGTAGGCCTATGGTTAAAATATAATTAAGACTTAAAAGATTAAGATAAGAATTAATGACTGGATATTTTCTCAATAAAATTATCTCTTCCAACCTGGGATGAAGTAGAGATTCTCATTTTCACCATTCAAACCAAAATTGGTCAAAATAGGCCAATTTTTCATGATTATTCCTGTTTCAAGTGGGTGCAAATGGATTTTCAGGTGGGTGCAAGCCTATTTTCAAAATTATCAAATTCAAAGGAAAAATGTTAGCTCATCAAACATTCTTGTTTTTCAGTTACTAAATAACAGAGTACAATGAGATATATGTGACAAGATAAAAATCAAATCAACCTCTTCTATTTAAAGCTAAAACATTCTTGTGACTTACACTCCCCATCAAATGTTTGGCAACTCTAACAGCCTAGTAGGAATACTATACATAGTACTGGTATATGTTAAAAACCTTTTTATGTTTAAATCCTTATTTGCACCACTTGTAATGAATCTTACTGAATAGGCTAGATATACCAAAATCTAATTTTTCTTCATTTATAATCCACCATTTATCATTGATTTAGCCTACATGGGAATGCCAATTTCAACCTATCGTAATTAAGAATTTGGAAGATTAAGTTACATATCTCCACATTTATTCAAATTGTTTTGATGGCAGGTTATGTCAAGGAATCCACCATACATGTAAACTGGCTAATGGGGACCTAAGGTAGCCAAACTTTTGGAGGGGAGTGTACGTGTATAAGGTGGGAATAAAGCACAAATCGGTTAAAAAATTGGAAACCAGCATAAACTCATACAGATTTGTAATAAGTAACATCCATTGATATTTTCTTTTCATTCCACAGACTGAAGAGACCGATGCATCCATTTAGTTAATGTAATTTATTTATCCCCGGTAAAAAACGTCATATCGCACCAGACGAAAACACGTCTAATGGGCAACTCTATTGTTAAAATAGAACCTGGCGGCAAACGAAAAATATCCCGAATAATGTACGCAATTGATAATTTTCGTCGTGTACCTTCAATACTATCGTGGAATTGATGTATAGTATCAATATTGTGATTGTTTTTAATGTATTTAAGAAGGTTGTGTCCGATTTAACCGAAAGAAGGTTCTTTTAATCATCCTTCAAAGACCACTACAGAATGCCGGGAAAACACAAAATAATTTTGTTATTGGCTGGATGAAGAAAACTGTGAGACAAATACCACTATTATTGATCGAGAAAATAAGCTTTTTATGTGGTCTTTCTAGATCAAAAGAGATTGAAATTATTTTTTTATGTTAAAGGGGTCTAATTTATCGCTGAAGTAAGGGTTGTCAATGTAAACAAACATGTCGGCGAATTTGATTTCTCGTCTTTAAACAATAATATTTGTGCAATAGTTGAATATCAAATCACGGACGTTGATGATTTAGAAAGCCGATTTCAATAGCTCCGTGCTCGTATATAAAAGTCTATATATCTCCCAATATTGATGAAATGAGAAGTAATTTTCTCAAGGTTACTACAATTTATTTCGAGAATCCAGTGGAGCCATCTCGATACGCGCGAAGTTATCACGTCACTCCTTGGTGGGCACACGGGTGGACGAAAGCTCATTGTCCAAATCGCTCTCGTTTGCGACGTTAAACACAGAAGACGACTCCCCCCTGAGTCCCATCTTGCCCCATCGAATCCCAATTTGCCCCATCGAATCCCACGAAGTCCCATGGGACCTTGATGACTTTGCCCCATCGTGCCCCATGGAGTCCCATCAAGCCCCATGGAGTCCCATCAAATCCCACCGTGCCCCATTGGTGTATGTCGGGCTTCACACAACACGTCATATGATCGAAAATCCCACGATGCCCCATGGAAAGAATGAACATGTTCATTCTCGATGGGACTCCATGGGACTCCGTGGGACTTTGCCCCATCTTGCCCCATCGAGTCCCATCGAGTCCCACGTGGGACTTCATGGGACCTCATGGGACCTCGTGGGACTCGATGGGGCAAGATGGGGCAAAATCCGACGGAGTCCCATGGAGTCCCACGGACTTCATGGGGCAAAATCCCAAAAGGTCCCACGAGGTCCCACGCAATGTTAAGTCTATGGAGGTCCCAACTTGCCCCATTGGTGTATACCGGGCTTAAGGGATATTAGTCGAAAGTCTCAATAAATTAAAAATATTCTCTGAAGTAAAGAATTTGACTTGTTTCTGATATATTAACCAGAGAGATGAACTTACATAGAACTATAAGTATATGATTTACCACATAATAAACATATAATAGTTCGCCAATCCTTAACTCTGTTTACATAAGGCATGCTGAAATGCTTATGTCTCAAAGCGGATGAAATAGATCTATGTAGGGGTGGTATAATATAATATAATCTTTGGACTCTTAAAAAACGTTGTTCAAACATTTATTTTGAAACGAATGTGGTTCCTTCAGAGTACGCAATATTTCATGAACGATGACATGATAGGTGTCTACGTGACTTGAATAATGTCCTCTAAACTAAATAGGCATGTTTGTAACTCACCGATAATGACAAAAACTTAACCTTTTTTGCGACGGAGTTCGGTGGTTGGCGTTCAGCCATTATGTTTGTCACAACAATATATTCCAGTTTTCATCATTTCTGTTATACATAATGCACTTTTGAAATAAATATTTCCATCGGTTAAAAAGAAAAATTTACATCTTTTTCTGACCGTGTTTCCTGATTCACTGAGAAAAATTGGGCTGCTTCTTTAAATGAGTCTGAAAAGACATGTTTCGCCCGAAATGAAATAATGGGGAAAGTTTTAGAATTTGGCCTGCTGTTAATGATGGATTGATAAGCTTAGTACTATATCATACATCTACCTAGGATTATCTGTACCCTTTGCATTCGTTTGACTTCACTTCTTAAAAGAGAGCTTCGTCTTAGTTTAACTAGACTCTGCATGCAGGGTACATTATCTGCAATGATATGATTTTATACCATTCCTTATATTTGTAAGAGGCAAGAACAGCTCAACGCTGTATTTTCTTTCATTTTCCAGAAGTCAAATGTGCATGACGATGTGAAAAAGGAGAGTGCACAAATTATCGAATTTGGACAAAACATTTTACCCTCAACTCCAAATGCCACTGCAGAGGAGCTTTTTTACAGGTTGGTTCTTGCTATCATATATTAAATATTTTACCATACATTAAAATCTCTAGGCTATTACCATATGCTAGTATTATTTTACCATACTTGGCTATTATTTTACCATATATTAAACACTATGTTATTATTTTACACCATATATTATTTACCATATATTAAATGCTAGGCTATTTTACCATATTAAATAAAGCAATTTTTGTCATACATATTGCATATGACAGGAAAACCTGCTGAATCGCTGTAGTTAGTTGCACATTAAAGTTTGTAATGACCCTCAACAAAGAGAAAATGCACTTTTTGGCTCATTCGCAAGACACATTCCCTATAACGTTTTTGTGGTGGGGATATAAGGCAGGATTTGTGCAAACGATCGCCAAGCCATTTTGAGCTAGAGGATATTAAAAGAGAGATCAGGAGAATTCCTTATGGCAATTGCAACATGGACAGGGACATTACAATGTATGCAATGAGCTTGAATTGAGCACATTACAAACTAATGATCTGTGCTCAAATTATGGTGGTATATGATATTAAAACTTACAGAACACAAAACGTACATGTATGTCTGTATGACAGGTCTATGAAAAAAATTGGAAACTCTTCCCATTGTTAGAAAATGCTACGCAATCAAAAGTGCAAATGATTTAAATGAAGTGTAAAGGTTCCTTGCAAATTAGGTGGCACTATATATTTTTCTCATCTCAGATACAATAGAAAATTGAATTTGTCCTGAAATGAGCTGACCCATCGAGCACCAACTGAAATGGCATATCTGATTTATTTTCTTCTAGTTATGGGTCTGGTGTCAACGTAATCTGTGATGAGACGAAAGAGATGGGTGTTTACCCTGGAGGATGGCTGACTTGCCAAACAGGGCAATATAAATTCAAGAAACCATGTTTGGTGTACTCAGTAGGGTAGGTAGACAGACACGGTGGTTATAATCTGTTGTAAAGGAGGGCTGATCGTGATCGTGTGTTGGGGATGTTTTTACGTAAAAAATAGACAGGGTTGCGTTGTATCAACTGCTATTGGTGATAATATAACTTGCAAAGAAAGGGAGGGGACTAATGTATATTTCCTTATTGTAAAGGAAGTATTAAGAATAAAAGATTTTACAGATACATCCTATATGAAGCACAACCTCCCCTTGACCAACTGTTTGAAATGGGTTTTTCAAAAACGGTATTCCCTTATCGTTCCGCAAAATGGTATATAACATCCTGAGACACAACGGAGTCCAATAATGTACTTCTCGTTGATTTAATAAACAATGACTTTATCATAAAAATTTGTAAAATGCCCATTTTCCTTTGTGATTTAAGTCTAGTCAAATAATTTAGGGAATGTATTTAAGGTGCAGAAATGTTTTTTTACTCGGATAGAAAAGGGAAAATCTGCTTTCCAATATCATTGTTAGATCTGTCATCCATACTGTACGTATAGAAAACTATTTGGAAAATAGGCCAGACATGCATATTGATGTGAGCTAAATATAATAAAAATCGTGACAATGTTTTAGCCCTTTAGAAAGCTACTCTTAACTCGATCGTCTCTCATATTTTTGTTGCTCCTTTATCGCCAGCAGTTATGAGTATATGTTTCTCATGTTATCACTTGTATTGATTTTCAGCAATTACACCCTACACAGGCTGTGCTATACGAAAACAAGCGGTGTGGATATCATGTGCGGATATTAACGGTTATTTTTTAATTTAATTTGTGATATTTCATATTCTTAGGCATGTTGGGTACTCAATAACCCAGATGCGAGTAGAAATAATCTTGATTTACGTCATTAAAAATTCAAAATCCAGTCAAAGTAATATCACATTTGAAATCTACATGTAAAATTACATCTAGAAATGTGGTTTTAAAAAGTGTTTATCAACTTTGAAAAATTAATTTTCTTTGAAAATGTGACTTCTAGCTCGGGGAGATTCCCCATAGACCCCATGCTATAAAATCACAAAAAATGAAATATCTTTTCTTTTAGTGGACAGATAATATTTTGCTTTATTACTGGACATATTTTCATTAGTATAAGTATAAGACACATAAGGGTTATATGAAAATTGAGCCACTTAAATTGATAATATTCAAGTTTAAGAGAACTTACTTAAATAACTGCCATGTTAATTGACCCGAATCAGGCACCTGGTGGTGAAACTGGTAACTACCTACTCGCATTTGGGTAATTACAGTCATCCATTTGTAGATGACACCTAATAAAAGGGAAATTTTGTCTACAGTTGTATTCTTCATTCTCTAACGACGCACTAATCATTCATCCTCAAAGAATTTGAAATTGCTGCTTGGTGGTCGAGATGACCAATCGATCAATCATTTTTTGCATTTTGAAAGTTATAAACTTTCTGTTTGATTTAAAAAAAAATTGAAAACATGTTTTGGATATGTTCTACCTCTAAACAAGCGGTGTGGGTATCGTCACTTTTCGGATATCCCCACCGCTTGGCTACAGAATGAACTACACACCTATTTACACAATTTTCTTTTTATTAGGGAACCTGTACCTGGCATGCATGATTAATGATTATAATTGAGTACCAAACATGCCTTAGTTGGTGAAATATTACAATATAAAAAATGACCGTTAATACCCGCACGACCTTGCGAACACGGTATCCGCATCGCTTGTTTTCGCATAGCACAGTCTGCATATAGAGTGTATTATGTCTCAAATCAAAAACCGACTCGTATGCTATTTAAGATAACATAGGTTTATATTCAACTTTGAACAACAAAAACCTTGTAAATGAAGAGGTGACATATGTGCTGTTTACAAGGTAATAAAGAAGTTAAGCTAAGTTAAACTGAACGACTATTTATGTGGGAAAACTACACGCATTCGTCTATAGCAACTTATGCGTACAGGTTGACGTATCGATATTCAGATATTATATGTTTATAGTTTATATAGTTTATTATAGTGTCACAAGTTCATACATATACAATAAAATACAATACTAAAATACATTAATAAAAAACCTCTAGCCGATGCCGGCTTATGAGACACTTATATGAATTCATAAATAGCATCAATATTACAATATTATTGCAAACGTTCAAGATTAAATGCCCTCTTTTGAAACATTTTATATATTAAAGAAGAAGCAATTTTCCTTTGACTAGATTTACATGTCATTATAGAGTGGAGTGTAATATTATCAACACTAAAATTATCAAATAAATCTCTTAAATATGAAAATAGATCATTTCTAATATCTATATAATGTGTACAGTCTAACAGACTAACATTGGTTAAACTCTCAATTAATTCATGTTGATACGCGATCACTGACTGATACGCTATAAAAAAAGCTTTTAGGTCGAATTCGTATAAATGTTAGAGGGTACCAAGTTCTACATTTAGTATAAAGGCACACTTTTACAATAGAATTTATGATATCAAAGGCATTTGTTTGAAAAGTGGAGACTGGGAAAAGTGAAAAGTGATTGGTAACTTTATTGGGACCACGTACACTTAAAATGGCTACACAAGAAATTTTCAGCTAACCTTTGACAAAAACTTTCATGAGATTTAAGCCTCGGTCACGTTTGCCCTACGGCAGCCGTAGCTTCACAAACTTGATACAGAAAATCTACATCGTACTGCTTATCCCTATATTTTATGTTGCATATTTCTCTCGCTTTTGGAAACAACGGCCATCGTACGGCTGCCTAAGATGATGATCAAATGAGACTGGGACATTAAATATAACAAGACACACAGTGATAAATATCGCACTTTGAAGAGCAAACTGGCCACCATGCAATTTACCCAGCATGGCCAAAACCTAATCAGACCTTGGCACTAGTCTGCTCTTGCATCTGTAAACATTTCAAGTTGACAAGGTTAGCGGTTTTCCTGCAATTTTGATGACAAGAATTTATTTGTAGTCTTGAACTTTGGGAAAAATTAGATAACATTGTTTGTGACCTAATTTGATGACCTTCGACCTTGAAAATTTCACTTTTTCAGACCTCAGTAGGTGTTTTGTAATTAAGCTGACCTAAATTTAAATCCAAAATATCAATTCAGAAAATCAACTTTTTTGACCTTTTCAAGGTCACTGAAGGTGAATGAAAGGTCAAATCTGAAATCTAAGGTCAGATTTGAACTTCTGAGAACTTGTAGATGTTTTTTAAAAAAAAATTTGGTCAATTTGGAGCAAGTTGAAAAATTCAAAATGGCCGCCAAATTGAAAAATTTCAAAATGGCCACCATGTAATTCAGCCAGCATACCCAAAACCTAATCAGATCTTGGCAATAGTCTGCTCTTGCATCTGTAAAAATTTCAAGTTGAACGGATAAGTGGTTTTCCTGGAAATTTGATGACAAGATTTGTTGAAAAATTCAAAATGGCCGCCATGTAGTTTACCCAGCATGCCCTTAACCTAATCAGATCTTGGTACTAGTCTGCTCTTACATCTGTAAAAATTTCAAGTTGAACAGGTAAGCAGTTATCCTGGAAATTTGATGACAAGATTTGGTTTATGTCCCGCCCGCCCGCACACCCGCCCGCACGCCCGCCCGCCCAACAGCACAAGACGACGACAATATAGCACTTTTTCAAAGTGCGATAAAAATGGTTTGAATTCTGGAATACCCCACACATTTTGTCGTTATCCACAAAAATAAATGTTTAACTCCAACTCAAATTTCTCAAGAACAGTTGTAGGTACTAGTATTGTTACATGATATTGATATAATTTTAAGTTGTGTATAGCTCACCCTAGCATATAAAGCAAACACAACCGATTAGTTATTTCATCTAAAATGACTAAGAGGTTATTTTAACTACATGTTCTAATTTATTATAGAGAGATGTTAGAAGTATGGTATTATCTGATTCAAAATAAAAAACCGTCATTTTCTGTTCATAACAGCTACCATTTATCAAACTGTCGGTTAATATAACCTTCTGTGATACAATATTGATAGGATATGTTTTAAAGGAAGTAATGCACTCGCCATTATGATCCAGGGGCGGATCTGGGAAGCAACGGGGGGGGGGGGGGGGCAAATTTCAGCTCAGAGAAAAAAACTTCCGAAAAAATGTTGGCCCCTATAACTTAAATGTTGGCCCAAATTTTGAAATTTTGAGGCCCATTTTCTTCAAAATTTGGCCTTAAATTAAAAAATAAGGCCTTAAAGGCCCAGTAATGACCAAAAAGGCCCACCTTTTGGGGCCTTTTTGGCCCAATTGTTTTGGGCCCAAGCCCCCCCCCCCCCCAGATCCGCCAGTGTGATCTCCCCATCTCAATATTTCATTTATATGCACACTAGTATCTTGTTGATCTATGTTCAGCACTTTATTGATGTACAGTATACGGTATAGGGCTGTTATTAGGCTCATAATTCAATCATGATAGGTAGTGAGGTAGCACCGAAAAATGTACCCGCTTCTGAACAAATTGAAATTACTTGTTTCTTATGTATTTTTATGTGATACTTCAGAAATTTTTTGTCTGACGCGCCATATCCGGGGCGAAAGTTATCAAAATTGGGTTTTTGACCATAAAAAGGAAAATTACAGGGGGTACATTAACATCATTGAATAATTCATTCAGTTAGTCTTCAATCATCATAATGATTTTATTGAGAGTTGATGAGATCATTTTAAGGTAGTATGCAAACTTTCAATGGTCTGTCACTCGTGGTTGCCATGGAAACCACAATTTTTGCTGAGAAAATCCTTAATTTTGGTAAAACCTGTACCTGTACATAATATAGAATGTGGATTATTTTTCAAATCAACAGATATCAGAACATTTTAGCACTCTAAAAATCACCAGGGCTGTCCAAACATTTGTTTAAAGAGAAAGAATATTGCAATTTATATGACTGGTAAGTGTCAAAGACCATACAATTACATAAGTGGTCAAAAGTGGG